GCGAGGATGGGGGCTATAAGGTGGTATAAACAGTGGGCAACCCGGGGATTTAGGGTTTCACCCAGACGGATGGACTCGCCGAGTTAGGGATATGGACTCGCCGAGTCCCCGGCTCACGCGTGCCCTCAGGCGCGACCCTACTCGGTGAGTCAGGCTATGAACTCGCCGAGTACCTCTTGAAAAACTCACTATAATTACCAATAAATCAACATACCAGGATCGGGTCGTTACAATTCTCCCCCACTTGTCTCAGACTTCGTCCTCGAAGTCTGCTACGGCTGGATCTGCAAATAACTCCGGGTAGTGCGCTCTCATCTCCTCCTCAGCCTCCCACGTCCATTCAGACCCCTTCCGGTGCTGCCACTGCACCTTTACTAGCTGAATTACCTTGTTCCTCAAGGTCTTGATCTTCCGTTCCAGAATCGCGACCGGTCTCTCGATATAATTCAGGCCGCTATCAACCTGGATATCCTCTAAGGGAACGACTGCCGTCTCATCCACCAAACACTTCCTTAACTGCGACACGTGGAAGGTGTTGTGTATCTGACTAAGCTCCTCAGGGAGATCTAACCGATAAGCAACCCGACCCACCCGGGCCAAAACCCTGAAAGGGCCAATAAATCTGGGGCCCAATTTGCCCCTCTTCCGGAACCTGATGACACCTTTCCAAGGTGAGACTTTCAGAAGAACCATATCGCCCACCTGGAACTCCAAGTCCGAACGCCTCCTGTCGGCGTAGCTCTTCTGTCGACTCTGCGCAGTCTGCAGCCTACTACGGACCTGCTGGATCAACTCAGTCGTCTTGAGCACCACTTCGGTGCTCCCGATGACTCGCTGACCGACCTCGCCCCAACAAATCGGGGTCCTGCACTTCCTGCCATATAACATCTCAAAAGGAGGTCGATCAATGCTCGCATGATAACTGTTATTATATGAGAATTCCGCTAACGGAAGATACGTATCCCAACTGCCCCCAAAATCTAGAACACATGCCCTGAGCATGTCCTCAAGAGTCTGAATCGTCCTCTCGCTCTGCCCATCAGTCTGAGGGTGGAAAGCGGTGCTGAAATGGAGACGAGTACCCATCTCGTCGTGGAACCGCTTCCAGAATCTGGACGTGAAACGAACATCCGGTCCGACACCACCGATACCGGCACTCCATGACGTGCCACAATCTCCCGCACATAGATATCGGCTAACTTTTCCGCCGATATACTCTCCTGAATCGGAATAAAATGGGCACTCTTCGTCAATCGATCCACTACTACCCATATCGAGTCCACTCCACGTGCGGTCCTGGGGAGCTTGGTGACAAAATCCATGGTGATATCCTCCCATTTCCACACGGGAATGTCTAACGGCTGCATCTTGCCGTGAGGTCTCTAATGCTCCGCCTTGACCTTCCGACAGGTCAAACATCTCTCAACATACCAAGCGACGTCTCGCTTCATGCAGGGCCACCAATAATCAGGTCGAAGATCTCGATACATCTTCGTCGCTCCGGGGTGGATAGAAAATCGAGACTTATGAGCCTCGTCCATCATACTTGCCGTACCCCACCCCTGTACGGTACCCATATCCTACCATGAAGCGTCAACAGACCCCGACTGTCGTAATCAAATGAAGCTACTCGGCCCACTATCCTCTCACACTTCTGCCTCTCCTCCTTGAGACCCTCCATCTGAGCCTCCTTGATCCGCTCCAACAAGGGAGTGATCACTGTCATCCTCATACACAGATCTCTGATAGGGGCCGCCGACACCTTACGGCTCAGGGCGTCGGCCACCACGTTGGCCTTCCCTGGATGAACAGGATCTCAAGTCATAGTCCTTCACACGTCTAACCATCTCCTCTGTCTCATGTTCAAACTCGGTTGATCCATAAGATATCGCAAACTCTTGTGATCCGTGTATATAGTACAGCGGACCCCATAAAGGTAATGTCTCCAAATCTTGAGGGCAAACACAACTGCCCCCAGCTCCAAATCGTGGGTAGGATAATTAGCCTCGTGAGGCTTCAACTGTCTCGAGGCATAAGCTACCACATGGCCTCGCTGCATCAATACTGCTCCCATACCTGTGATCGATGCATCACAATAGACTACGAAATCCTCTACTCCTTCTGGCAAGGTAAGGATCGGAGCCTCGCACAATCTCTGCCTGAGAGTCTCGAACGCCGCCTGCTGCTCAGGCCCCCGAAAAACCACCGACTTCTTGGTTAGTCGGGTGAGCGGCACTGCTATCTTGGAGAAGTCCTGAATAAATCTCCGATAATACCCTGCCAACCCCAGGAAGCTCCGAATCTCAGATGGAGACCTCGGGACCTCCCACTGCATCACGGCCTCAATCTTGGCCGGATCTACCAAAATACCCTTCTGGTTGACGAGATGACCAAGAAACTGCACCTCGCGCAACCAGAACTCACACTTGGAGAACTTTGCGAAAAGTCTCTCCCTCCTCAAAGTCTCCAACACCTCCCGCAGGTGCTCCTCGTGCTGCCCTGTGTCTTGGAATACACCAAGATGTCATCTATAAACACTATCACCGACGATCCAGCATCGGTCTGCACACGCGGTTCATGAGATCCATGAACGCGGCTGGGGCATTGGTGAGCCCAAATGGCATCACCACGAACTCATAATGACCATACCGGGTCCTGAAAGCAGTCTTCTGTACATCCTCATCTCTAACCCTCATCTGATGATAACCGGAGCGTAGATCGATCTTGGAGAACCAAGACGCTCCCTGAAGCTGATCAAACAAGTCATCTATCCTCGGAAGTGGGTAACGGTTCTTCACCGTTACTTTGTTCAACTCCCGATAATCAATGCACATACGATGCGACCCATCCTTCTTCCTCACAAATAAGATCGGGCTCCCCAAGGCGAACTGCTCGGCCGAATGAAACCCTTGTCTAACAGCTCCTGAAGCTGTGTAGACAACTCCTGCATCTCAGGGGGAGCAAGTCGATACGGTGCTTTGGCTATCGGAGCCGCACCAGGAACTAGGTCGATCCTGAACTCAACCTGCCTCTCTGGAGGTATCCCCGGCAAATCCTCGGGAAACACATCCGGGTAGTCACGAACAATAGGAACATCATCAATCGTCGTCTTGCCCTTCTCCCGGGCATCCAAGACGTAAGCTACAAAACCGGCGCAACCCTGCTGAACATAGCGCCTGCCCTTGCGGCGGAACAAAAGATCGGTCCTCGCTGGGGCCTCTCGCCCTGAATCACTATCTCTCCCCCACTGGGAGTGCGAACCCTCACTAGCTGAAGCTCACAATCAATCACCGCCCCATTGGGGCTCAGCCAATCCATGCCCACAATAACTTTATTCCCACGCAGGGGAATAGGAACCAGGTCCACTGAAAACTGCTCATCAAATATCTGAAGGGAACACCCTCTATGTACTCTGCCGACCCTCACGGTCCTATCATCTGCTATCTCAACCTCTAATGGACAATCCAGCTCCCCTGGAGCTCTGCTAAATCTCTTGCTAAGCGCAAGCTATACAAATGATCGGGTAGCCCCCGAATCGAACAATACCAAAGCAGAAATGCCGTTCACAGAGAACGACCCTAAATAAAACATACCCACATAAGTAATACTCAACCGATATAATAACAATTAAAGATGAAGGAAAGATTCATACCCGTCACCACATCAGGAGTCGCTCGCGCCTCCTCTGCTGTCATCTGAAATGCCCTGCTCTTCGCCACTGGCGCATCAGCTCGGCCCTGCCGGCCATCCGTAATCCTCAAGGTGGCAGGGGCAGGTGCAACCACCTTCCCTGCTGCAGCTAAGCTGGGACACTGGGACCTTTTATGTCCCCTCTGATTGCACTGAAAGCAAATCAGATCTGATGCCGTAACCGTAGTAGCAGGGGCCGTACAATCCCTACTCAAATTCCCAGTCCGACCGCACTTGTAGCAGCCGGAACTCCCTGCCTTGCACGCCCCCTCGTGCAGTCTCCCACACTTGCCACACCGACCGTGGCTCTGCTGACCCCTAGACCTGTGATCTGAAACCTTGGGCTTTTTGCCCACACTGCCTGAACCCGAAACCGCCTCCGGTTTCCTCTTCTTCTCCTTCTCGAGATCAATCTCCTCTCTCTAGCTCTGGCAATCATGTCGTCCAGCGTTTTACAACTGGACCGGCTCACAAACATACGGATGTCACTCCGCAACATCTCATGATAACGGGCCTTCTTCATCTCCTCATCGGCTGCATACTGAGGAACAAGAAGGGCCCTCTCCCTGAACTTGGCGGTGATCTCCGCCACTGTCTCTGTAGTCTGGGTAAGGTCCTGAAACTCCCTAGCTAATTGCTGCACCTCAATGACTGGTGCAAACTCCGCCCTGAACCTGGTAGAGAAATCAGCCCAGGTCATGGCATCCAATGCCGCATCATCCCAGATGGCATGTCCGACCTCCTCCCACCAATCCCGTGCCCTGTCCTTCAGAAGACAGGACGCCAATCTGACCTTGTCCCCCTCGGGACACCTGCTAGTGCGGAAAGCGTTGGCCACATCCGCCAACCATCTAGTACTCGCTATTGGGTCCCGCGCCCCATGATAGTCTGGAGCCCCGCATGCCCTGAACTCCCTGAACGTAAGTGTGCGCGACCCCATCACGGCCGCCATCTCAGCACGGAAAGTACTCAATCTCTCATCCATCAGCTCTAAAATACCCTCCTTGATCGAACCGAAGATCACAGGAGTCTGCTCCAGTATGATGCGGGTAACCTCAGAAGAAAGGAACTCTCTAGTCTGCTCATCCATCAGAAGAAAGGAACTCTCCAGTATGATGCGGATTGGTTTGCGGCGGATGGTGGTGGCACATGGTGTTGACAGGCTGGTGGCTAGTGAAGAGAGAGAGAGAGGGGGGGGGGAGGGGGGTTGGGTGGTGGCTCCTTATGGTTTTATATTTAATAAATATAAAAAGAGTAAAAAGAAAAAGAAATTAGAAAGGGTAAAGTATTATTTTAATATTTATGGAGGGCTAATTTCTGCACTTTACTTTTTTTTTTTTTTTTTTTTTGCTTTTAAAAGTGGCAATTGGAACAAGCACCGGCCATCTTGGCAACACAAATGGGATCACAGAATGAAGACTTTGACCGCGGTCATTCGGTTTAGAAGCAAAATCGAGCCTTCTATTCAGAATATTATACGACACAATACGCTCAGGCTCCATGCAATACAAATACACAACATTTGGATTTAACGGATGAAACGATAAAGGAATAAACCATCCGTACCGAGTCAGCCAATTACTCAATTCCAGATCGCTGCGTCTCAACTTAAACTCACAACACCATTCTCCTTTCTCATAATCATTCATAGCCCACATGCTGAACAAATAGAACTGCTTGCGACCATGAGCCACCTCGAAATAACGAAGGGTCCCTTGGCTCTCCCCACATAATTGAGAAGAACTGTCTAAATACTTACTCAGGAGATCTCTGTCATCTGGGAATGGAATTAGGCGAACAGATTTTGGATCTTTGTAAGGATCAAATGCAAGCAGGCCATTATAACGTACTTCCCAATGGAGAGCCCCGTAGCAATAGATTGGGCCATCCGCCAGTTCCGACCATTGGATGGGAATAGGGCAAGGTAATTTGTAGCTGATCCATTTGCCGGTTTCCGATGAAAACATCTCTAAATTGAGATAATTCAATTCAAAATGTTCCAACCAAACAAATGTATAACCAGTAAGCATATATCGTCATTAACCCTAGTTATTTCTCCATAATCGGTTTTGTTTATATCCATGTAAATGGTTAGCGTGCTATGTTGATCTTCATCCACACATGATTTCTGAGTTTTGGTTATTGCAGAGTTCCAAAAAATCATTAATCAACAAGCATCATAGAACCCTTACATGGCAGTTGATTGAAGATGAAAGTTCATAAACAGAAACAGGAAGAAAGGCTAGTCTGGTGTTTTTTTTTTTTACTTTCAGTTTAGGCACCCCAAGTGTTTGATATAATGTCTAACTGTAGGTTTTAACTTCTCTACGAAAATTTAACTGGTTGGAATTGTGAGTTATGTTCGGGTGTGAGTTTAGTTTTATAGACAATGTCAATATAAAATGGGTTTACTTTAAATGAAAGGGTGGTCGGGTTAGGGAGACTAAAAAATCAGAAAAGGGAGAAGCTGAAATGTGAGTTTATTCAAGCTTCACATTTTTCCAGGTTTGATTAACTATTGGAAAGTACGGAAAATGGTTTTCAATATGGATTCGAAAATCAACTACCCATGGAGAAACAGTTTTAAATGAATTTTTAATAATTGGGAGATATTGAATATTCTTATATAGTTATATTTTTCTAATGTTCCAAAGAAAGTACAAGATAACAGAGGGAGTGAAATTAATTTCAAAATATTACGACCTACGATAACATGTGCTATCTGGTTTTGGGATGAAATAAATAGTTGATGTTGCACTTTGAGTTGGTACATGGTGGAGAATTATGCTACAATTTATAAATGAATCTTTGGATTTGTGTGTTATGCATATTCTTATTTTCCTTTGAGTAGTTCTTTAGAATAAGATGGATAGGTTAATTTTTAATGCACAAATAAGTGTATAACAGATTCTCACCAAAATAATGTATTCGTTTTTTTCAAGATATATTTTCATCGTTCAACAAAATTATCAAGGTTTGGGGTTGGTTTATTGCAGTGGAGAATTTTTAAGTCAACAGTAATAATGTATTCGGAATTGAAATAAAGGTAATTTTTCTTTACCTCTCAAAATTCCATCCCATAATTGTGTAAAAGCTTTAATTATGAAAACATTTCAAGAAAATTCGAACATTAAGTTATTATTTTGTGGTCTTTACTCCTTACAATGAAACAAAGTTGCAATATAGTATCACGTTGGAGAAAGTGATAGTCTGATAGAGACATAGAGTCAATAGCTGTCATTTTTGTTAAATGGAGAAAAAAAATATATTGCGTGGCTTCATCTACACTACGTATTTGCAGTACAAAAGACTAAGTAGTGTAAATTATCTGGTGGTGAGTTATAATAAGGTATTGTAACTTGTAAGATCTATACAAATGTTTTTTGATGCGTCCAATCACAAATCAAATTAGAAATAAAAATTGATATATTTGACTTATCAATTTTTTGGTTAGTCGTGTTTGACATAAATCATGAACACGAACCAAACCAGAGAGCCAAAGACTTTACTACAAGTGTTAACCCATCCAACAAATATTGAAAAAATCAATTTGGTAACATGTTTCAGAATAACACTAATTGCTGAAATAAACTATTCGTTGCCGCCGCTTATATATATATATATATATATATATATATATATATATATATATATATATATATATATATATATATATATATATATAACAAAATAACAAATATTTTTGCAAGGTCATGTTCTAGGCTTGGCAGACCAATAGGTATACAATAATTAGCAACAAATAATAATCGGGTGTGTTTATATATGCAGCAAATGGCGTATCAAATAAATATAACATTTATAATTATCAAATAAATATAACATTTATAATTATATGTTTAAATATGTTTGAAATACATAGGATACAACGAAAATTAAAACATGTAATAATAAAACAAATAGAGATTATGGTTAACGCCACTTTAGTTTGAACTCGGGGTAGAAATCAGGAGTGGACTCGTCTAGCAAGCTTCTGTGGGAATTTGTTAGGGCTTTCCATTTTTTATGAGGATCCCATCTTATTTGAACATGTTTCAGGTAATGAGGCCAATACGCAGTTCTAGTATTCTTTTTCTCCAATACCTCCCTCAACATAAGCCTGCAAAAGTGATTGTTTTGCTTGAAGGAAACATCTGGCTGTGGAAATACTTGCTTGGGATGGCAAATCTCAAAGAATGCATCAAAAAATGGAGATCGCTCCCACAGGCCTTCGTCCTGTTCCGTTTCAAACCACAGTTCTTGCATGTTAGTAGCAGGAGGAAGCAGGAGCCTTGTTCGTAGATCATCGATGTCGATATCCAATGGTGGATTAGAGTTGTCAGTTAATATATGAAGGTAGCACAAGCGTGATAACTCGAATGCTTCCCTCATCATAAGAAAAAAGTCTGCATCAACAGGAAGCTGGAGCATGAGTGAAACCTTGAAATGCTGAAGAGACGAGAGTGGAAACAGAAGACTAGGCAATATGCAGCCAGAAAGATGGACATAAAGTAATTTTGGAGCATAAACTTGTACATCGATAACCATGGCTGGGCACGACAGCAAGAACAATATTTTGATGGAAGGACATGTTAAATGGAAGCTTCCCAACATCCAAGATGTCAAATAAAGTGTCAAACTCTGGAGAAAAGGAAATTGCGATTTGAAGATGTCAAGACACGCATTGTCCGTTATCACACCAGCTAACGTTAAGTGTGTCACGCTTCTTCCTAATGATATTGAAGAGGCGTTGAATGGAGGAGGGGGGTGATCGTGCAGCCAAAATCGTACATCTAGTTCGTAGCTAAACAGGCCAAGATTTGGGACATCACTGATTTCCAAAGCAGTAGAGTCTACAGCATTTAAATTTATTCGTAATTCATAAAGACGAGGAAGGTTTTTAACCTTGATGGTGTTGAACCCATTGCAAGAATTTAAAAGCACTATCTTAACAAGCAAGCTACAAGACGACAATATGTGATTAAGTGCCTCTTCACTTATGCATACACAATCCAAGTGCAGTTCTCGTAGGGACACACACTTGATCACAGGATGCTGGCTAGTCGTCATCGGAACACGGCCCCCATGTGTACCTGAAACTCTTATCTTAGTTAGGTTCTCGCCCGAGAGTATCTCATCTGGCAAAGTAAACGAGGCACCGTTAAGGGTGATTGAGAGGGAAAACTCTTTGAGACAAGTTTTGGTTGCCAAGGGCCCGATCCATTTTTCAGCATGAGAAGCTGACTCCTGGTTCTCGACGTCCATCATAAGGTCAAACCTTTCGATTGGTATGTTGTCACGGAGATACCTGTATAGAACACGGTCCATGTACGCCAACTTCATGCATCTTTCTCTTCCAACACTGAAGATGAGGATAGGGATGGTAGACCAGGCGTACAGCCATGACTTGGACAACACGCTTGTGCGGGCTGCTTCTTTTACCGGCAACCATGATTGTATACGCTGCATCAACTCAGGAACATCTTCCACTTCCCTTGCACTGGCACTGCTTTTCATCCCTTCAAACCTCAAAACAATTAACAAGTTAACAACACATCATCAATTTTCCACAGACATCTTATGTTATATTATGTACATATAAAATTATGAAATCACCACAACCAAACCAGCACAGCAATGCATTACAACCATATAATATATACAGTGTGTAGCATCCATCCAAAGGAGGGGTTTTGCCTTACAGATTGCTATATACAGCACTCTACTAGAAACAAAAGCCTAAAAAACACAACTTCAAACATGAAACATGTTTGGCTGCACAATTATTCAGATACGGTAACAATCCAACAAAAACTCTTAGCCAGCCAGGGTCAAATCCTTTTGAAACAAACAACACCATCCAATCCAAGTTATATAGGCAAAGCTAAGCCAGTAAATTAAAACAGATCAGTTCGGTCAAACCCCGCGATATGATGATAAGCGAACCATGAATTACAGCCCATAGTCATTCCTCAAATCGCCTTACCAAATAGCTTTAGATCTATTCAAAACCACTAACAGTTTCAAAATTTCTCTTGGTATCGGTATGAACAGAAACCAAGACACACAAACATGGATTGATAACCAGAATTCCATACTTAGAAGAAAAACCCAATCTTGTAATTTCAAGTTTAATTGCTCTAGTTTATGCCTCCAATTGTTCATATGCAGGATTTACACGCACCAAATAGCAGACAACAAGATGCAAAACAAATTTGATGATTTACCTGATAACTAAAATCCAGAGGCAAGCGGCAACAGCAAGCGTTTCCTCGAGGGTGAGAGTAACCACTAATTATTCATGACCTAGGGTTCATGTTGTACTTTCACTCCTCGTATCTAGATTTTAGTTCTATGTTCTGTTTTTGGTTTTTCTAATTTTATTTTCTTTTTATTTATTATAACCTGAATGACAAAATTACAAGAATGGTCTACCTGTTCCTGTTAGCCTTTTCTTTTTCTTTTGCTTTTTATTTTTTATTTTCTATTTTCGTTATGGTCCTTGTAAGTATTTCTCGATTTAATTATTTGACTCAATCGTCAAATTAATCATGAGTAAATTACAGTTTTGGTCCTATCGTTTTTCTCACTTTTAGTCCATTTTTAAAAAAATAGACGAGACTCATATTTAAAGAAATTACATTGTACGTCCCTTGTCCATAAAAAAGATTTTTTTACACTTAAGTATTTCTTTTTTAATTCCTTTTAATCGTTTTTATATTATTTTAATTAAAATAGATACAAACCAAAAACTCACCCATCCCACCCTCCGGACGGTTGTTACACCCACATATCTCCTACTAACTCTTTCACTCCTTATTCACATTGTCTCTATCTCTCTTTTTCTCACTTTCCTGCTACCATACACCACCATTGGACCACCGCAGTCTGTGACGGACCACCACCATTTGTACAACATCAAACCACCGTCACCGCCGGATCTGCTTGTGTTTAGCCAAAAACTCTACAT